CTGATGGTTTTCGTTACTAAAGTCGATCATAACTCAATAACTAAAGGTATTGGAGCAAAAAAATGTTGAACATAAATTGTTTATAATGATGCAAGAATACATAATCCATAACCAGATATAAGTCAATTATGATTGTATTCTAGCTAGAATCCACCACATGTCAAAATTGATGGAATTCGTTACTATAGTCGATCATAACTTAATAACTAAAGGTGTTGGAGCAAAAAATGTTGATCATAAATTGTTTATAATGATGTAAAAATACACAATACATGACCAGATATAGCTCAGTTATGATTATGTTTTAGCTAGATCCTGGAAATTCACAACACATCAAAATTGACGGTTTTATGTTGCGGCGCAGATTATCCACGTTGCGCAAAAGAAAGTTGGCACTTTTATTGAACTGTTTTTCCACCAAAGCCCATAGATTTTCGAATGGGTTTAGATCCGGTGACCACGCTGGCTAGGGTATTCGCCTAACCTCATTATGATCGTCAAACCTATCATGAACAATTCTTGAAGAATGCACGGGCGAATTGTCTTGGACTATCGTGATGATCCCTTCTGGATACAGGTTCTTACTGGTGGTATCAAAACATCCTCCAGCACACGAATGTATTAAATCGAATTAAATCTTCCTTTAATTTCGGTCAGTTTTCCCGGGCCATGAATGCTCATCCATCCCCAATAACCCAAGGAAATGCGTCCACTTCTTGTATTAGATTGAACATGATTAGCATCATACCGGGTTCCATCCCTTCGCCATAGTAATTTCTTATGGACGTCCTACGAACAGAAGATTTTTTCGTCTGTGAAGATGACTGAAATTGCTCGGTAATTAGGGTGTTTTGTTACAGCTATCCGGTCATGAATGAATTTTATCTGACGTTTTATTTATAGAAACACTCTAAAATCATTTATTAGAGGAACATATAAAAAATCGTGTATTTGTTGTGCTTAAAAATATCAAAAAGGATTTAAAATAAAATAAAATTAACACATTTAAAAAAGGGTGATCCATTCTTCGGCCCACTTCAAACTGAGACGGTTTTACCTGGGCTTTACCCTCTTCCTTTAGTTTCAGAAATCGAATTGAATAGAAACAAAAGATGTCTCCGTCTTCTTCCAGTACCAGCGTCATGTCGGAGCTAACAGCGGTCGATTCGCATTAAATCTGAACAGAGCTGTACGTCTTCAGACGCACGGCTAAACCCGAATATTTCTAGTTCTAGGTCTAGTGTTAGTTCTAGTTTTAGTGCAATAAAAATCATATCTAAGTCGGTTCTTAGACGTATGATGCAAATCAGACTTAAAATCGTATAACATGATTAGCGCTTTTAAAACAAATAGTATTTTAGGTCTTTCGGTATTCTGCATTTTTTCTAAGATAAGTTACACCTTTATCTACCAGACAGCACGAAAATCTATAAAAACGATCAAATGTCGCTTAGTCTACTGATGTATAACGCGGTCCAATTGTAACGTATTTAGTTATTTTTAGTTGATTTTGAGTTCTACCTAGAATTTGTACCTAACTTTTTTTTAGATTCTACACCAGCAGCAACCGGCGTCAGCGTCCAGTTGATTGGTGTCCCGGGGGTTTCGGAGGACGTGCGAAATAGCGCAATTAACGCTTCTGTCACGCGTGGCTTTTGTTTACACGTGAATTACGAGCAAGGTTCGCGCGCATACCCGCCTAGAACTGGAGGCGTCGCGTATTGTCGACATTGCTATGCCGTTCTCGGCGTCCCGACGCTCCACTAGGAACGACGACGTCGACGGCCTTCCCACCCCGCTAAACGCCGACGCGACGTGATATACGACGAACGTTACGTTTTCATAAATACTATTTCATTAGTAGAACCCGTATGTATACTGTGTGACAAAGCATATAGAGGCAAAATGAGAAATATTTGTGGAAGCAGAAATGATATATATTGCATAATCAAAAGTAAGAAAGAAAATATTTTCAATAACAAGAACGTTGAAGCTAGCGATGTTGCTACTCATCGATATCAAACGTAGGAAGCTTTTGAAACTGTCAAGTTACATTGACCCGTTCGAAAGCATTGCTAAAATCGATGTAAATAGAATCAACTTGAAGGAAATAACCGATAAAGTTTAAAATATAGTAAGTGTACTCCAACAAATTGCTCCCGGTTGAACAGCTTGAAAAAAATTTTACAACTAATTCCACTTTTCAAATAAATATTACACCGATCATATTTTGGGAATTAAGAAATTACTAATATCTTAAATTAAAGTTTAAACACTCTATTTTTGAATAATAGGGAAAAATAATGAGGTAAGATTAAAAAATATCTAGGGAAAAAAATGGAAATACAACCTATTAATTAATAATGAGTCAATTTGAGAAAACCATCAATTTTGGTATGTTGTGGATTTCCAGCTTCTAGCTAGAATGTAATCATAATGGAGCTATATCTGGTTATGGATTGTGTATTCTTGCATCATTATAAACAATTTGTGTTCAACATTTTCTGCACCAACACCTTTTCTTATTGAGGTATGATCGACTTTTGTGATGAAAACCGTCAATTTTGATATGTTGTGGATTTCCAGGATCTAGCTAAAACATAATCATAACTGAGCTATATCTGGTCATGGATTGTGCATTCTTGCATCATTATAAACAATTTATTTACAACATTTTTTGCTCCAACACCTTTAGTTGTTGAGTTATGATAGACTAGTTATGAAAACCATCAATTTTAATATATTGTGGATTTCTATGTTCTAGCTAGAATATAATCATAATTGAGTTATATATGGTTATGGTTTGTGTATTCTTGCATCATTATAAACAATTTATGTACAGTTTTCTTTGCTTCAACGCCTTTAGTTATTGAGTTATGATCGACTTTAGTAACAAAAACCACCACCTTTTACTATGTTGTAGATTTCCAGATTCTAGCTAGAATACAATCATAACTGAGCTATATCCGGTTATGGATTGTGTATTCTTGCATTATTGTAAACAATTTATGTACAACATTTTTTGTTCCAACACATTTAGTTGTTGAGTTATGATAGACTTTAGTCATGAAAACCATAAATTTTAATATGTTGTGAATTTCCAGGTTCTAGCTAGAATATAATCGTAATTGAGCTATATCTGGTTATGGTTTGTGTATTCTTGCATCATTATAAACAATTTATGTACAACGTTTTTTGCTCCAACACCTTTAGTTATTGAGTTATGCTAGATTTTAGTCATTAAAACCATCAATTTAAATATGTTGTGGATTTCCAGATTCTAGCTAGAATACAATCATAACTGAGCTATATCTGGTTATTGATTGTGTATCCTTCCATTATTATAAACAATTTATGTACAACATTTTTTGCGACAACACATTTAGTTATTGAATTATGATAGACTTTAGTCATGAAAACCATAAAATTTAATATGTTGTGGATTTCCAGATCTTAGCTAGAATATAGACATAATTGAACTATATCTGGTTATGGATTGTGTATTTTTACATCATTATAAACAATTTATGTTCTACATTTTTTGCTCCAACACCTTTAGTTATTGAATTATGATCGACTTTAGTAACAAAAACCATCAATTTTGATATGTTGTAGATTTCCAGGTTCTAGCTAGTATACAATCATAACTGAGCTATATCTGGTTATGGATTGTGTATTCTTGTATCATTATAAACAATTTATGTACAACGTTTTTTGCTCCAACGCCTTTAGTTATTGAGTTATGATCGACTTTAGTAACAAAAACCATCAATTTTGATATGTTGTAGATTTCCAGATTCTAGCTAGAATACAATCGTAACTGATCTATGTCTGATTATGGTTTGTGTATTTTTGCATTATTATAAACAATTTATGTACAACATTTCTTTCTACAACACTTTTAGTTATTGAGTTATGATAGACTTTAGTAACGAAAATTATCAATTTCGATGTTTTGAAAATTTCCACATTCTAGCTTGAACTGAGCTATATTTAGTTATAGATAAGGTTAATTAACTTAATGTAGGTTTTATAAAGCTATTGGATACTGTGATAATCAGGATTGAGGATAATGATTGAAGGATAATAACTTAATGTTATCAATGTAATATACCATCATCGTTTAAAGGAATATTTTTTTAATGGTGATTAAAAATATAATCGTTTTAAATAAAATTGGTCGAATATTTGTATGTTTATTTTTTGAATGCGCCTTGTATAAACAACAGTCAGGGGGGTGGGGGTTCCTGAAAAAATTATTTAATTCTCTATCCAAATCCATGAAAATCTACAGGCTGTTGTATTTGATATAAAAAAGTTACTCCGACTGATTTCTTTTTAAGGCGTTATCTTAAAAACTATTCATGAAAATATATAGGATATAGTATTTGACATAAAAAAGTTACTATCACTTTCGCCCAAACCAAAAGTGATACTTGGTTGTACTATACGTAAAAAAATCACAAATCAAAATTTAAAATTGACCAGTTTGAGCATTTTTGCCAAAAAGCAATTGCTAAAATTTTATCGAATTTGTTGCTTTCATGGTGAACGCACTGTATATTATATTAAAGCTTGAATATTCTATTTTTACGTATGGTATAAAAAATGCGGTAAAATCTAAAAATTTTTAAGAAACAAATATTATAAGAAAACATGCTACTTTGAGTTATAGCAACGAAAGTGAAAATTTAAGAAATTTTTAAAAAAATCATTCCAGCATTATCTTGTGGAGTTAAAAAACGGTTGATGTCTTAAATTAAAGCTTAAACACTCTATTTTTTAATAATAGGGAGAAATAAAGGGGTAAGATTTAAGAAATTTCTAGAAAAAAATTGTTATAAGACAACCTCTTAATTTTGATTATATCAAAAAACTTCAAAAATTAGAAAAAAGTATTTCGACCTTAATTTGAGGAGTTTAAAAATTATTTATTTATTAAATTAAAGCTTGAAGATTATATCTTTGAGTAAGTTATAGAAAAAAATGTGGTAACTCACCCCTTCTAGATTCTCTATTCGGTTGTCTTAATAAAATGGGTTGGCCATCTTCTCTACGCCACGTTACTTTCGGTAGAGGATGACCTGTGGCTTTACACCATAAAGTTGCATTATCTCCTTCTGCAATGGATAAATCTCCGCTTGTATCCTGATCCACTATGTCTGGGGAAACTGAAACAGTATTAAAAAAGTCAACTGAATTATTATGTTCATCGTTCATCCTCAGTTGGATTGTACACACTATTTTAATTATTAATCGATAATACTCTAGTTTTGTTCGGTTAATGAAAAAATTCTCAACAAGGTGATTTCGATCGTTCGACCATCAGAGCGTGTACTTAACAAGCAATCGGTGTGCGGCATATTGCTTGTTTCGCGCGATTCCGTTTGTTTAATAAAAATCCCCTTTTTCCCGGGGTAATTTTAATTTTACTCGTCGCCGAGAGCCGCATTGCACGCATCCAATGCGGCAAAAAAAAATCCGATTGGCGGGGTGCGTTTGCGTTGTTGGTGCCGTTTTATGTTGAACGATATAGAACATCCCCGGACCCGCAATTTAACTGCATTGTCCGTTTAGTGACAAATTCAATTACCTGAAAAACCTGAAACAAAACACCAGGGGCTCTGGCGACTACGCATAAATTAATCTGACGGGCCAGATTCAGCCATACGAAATAAAAACAGATTCGGTAGAATAAAAAAAATTCCTGTGGATATAAATCAATGAGATAAACAAATTTTTTAGAGGATTTTACGTCGTACCGATTTAAATCAACAAAATTAGATCTCAAAAGTATTAAAATATGCGATATATTTAGTTTCAATTTGATTGATCTATCAATAAATGAAATGTTAATAGAATATGACGCTTAGTACTGATGTTAATGCATTTGAATCATTAATCAATTATTAATCGTCAACGTCGGATTTGATCATCAATATGAAATATCTTCATTAACAATCTCCTAAATAAGTAAAACAAAGCAAAACAAGAAATTATTTGGACCGCGTTATACGGACTGTTTGTTTTGAACGTGGTGTAAGTCCATTTTTGAAAATGTGTATAACTAGTCCGTGTTTAATTTCTTAAAAATTCCCCTGTTTTGTAAAATTTAAAATTGGTCGGTAAACGAAGTATCATAATCATCGATTATGAAAGTGGTGTAAGTCCAATTGACAGAGGTAAGTGGCTTAGTTGATGGTTGTCCATCAATAGCCTGTTATTTTTTTGCATTTGTTTTATATTATGTGTCATATTAAGAGTTAGTAGTTTAGGTTACTTATTGTATTTTTTTCCTAAAATGGATAACTTCAGATTAACATCAGATAGTGATATAGGTAAGAACAAATGGTAGAATCTACATAAGATGAAGATATTGTTACTGAGAACTTAGATTTTGCAGAACTCATTCTAGCAAAAAAACTTGAATTTAAAAATTGTAATTATTCGAAGAAATGCATAGAACATATTAATGAAACACAACGTATAGAAATTTTTGATAAGTTCTGAAATATAGGTGATTTTAATAAGCAAAATGTATTTCTCTATTGTAATATTCAACGTGAAATTGTCAATAGAAGAGGGCCTACAAATAATTCGGGCACTACGCTTATAAATTTTACCTGGTCACTACTGGTAGAAACATTTTAGTATGTAAGAAATTTTTCATTGAGACTTTCCAAATATCTACTGGACGAATTGATCGTGTCCTAAAAGCGCATGACAATATTCCAAAAGACATGCGTGGAAAAATGGCAAGGAAAGAACACATAACAAGCTTTCCAGCATTTAAAAGTCACTACTATAGTCGATTCCAAAATCCAGAACGGATGTTTTTAAATCCTGAATTAAACATAAGAAAAATATATAATTTATGCTTAGAAAAATGCAAGGAAAATAACTTGAGTTCAGTTAATCAATGAGCATACAGGAAAATGTTTAAACGAGATTTCAAGTTACACTTCAATTTGCCACGTAAAGATACCTGTGCGAAATGCGATTTCTTAAACATGGAAATTAAGACAACAGCTGATGACGAAGAAAAAACAATTCTTGTACAAAGACATGATGTTCACTTGCAAGATGCTGAATTAGCAAGAAAAGCATTACAAGAAGATAAAATTCTGGCATCAAAAAATCCTGATAAATACTTTGCCTTCTCTTTTGACTTACAGAAAGCCTTACCTTACCCGAAATTATCTGTCTCAATCGCATATTATAAGCGAAATATGTATGTTTTAAACGAGGGTTTTCACAATTTCCACGACAACAAAGTTAATATGTATGTGTGGGACGAAACTATTGCTTCCAGGGGATCGCAAGAAGTAGCTTGTTGCTGTATGTAACGACCTAGTGCCATGTTATTGCTTAGAGTGACATGTGTACTGGGCAAAATCGAAATTTACAAATGGCATTGATACGGTTGAAGGTTATCCAGTCGTTGGAAAATAACATTGACATAATTGATTCATACATAATCATTCATACCTTCCGAACGATGCAGATTTTGGCATCATAGAAATGGCATTGCGAAAAAAGAATTTTATTTACACACCACATGATTATTATGATGTAATAACACAATGTAGAAAACATGATAAATTCATTTTACATGAAATGAAACGAGAAAATTTCGTTTCAATAGAAAATCTTAAAAATGCGATTAAAAAACGGATAAAAAAACACTAATGGAGAATAGGTAAATTGGTTGCAAATATGTTGGATAAGGTTTCTCAAAAGTGATAAACTTCGATGAAGGACAAAGAATTTAAAACTATAAATTTATTACCTACACGTCCTGGAAGACCGCTAAAATTTGAAAAAATCGCCCTGGGGCCTTTGTACCAAAATGCCAGGCGTATTACTTATGAAAAATATAAACACATCAAGCAGTTTTTACTTTTTATACCACCGGTGCATTATGCATATTTCGAAACACTGCCACATGTAGAGCATAAGTAAATACATGTATTATCAATATCTTGTATTTTTAACAATGTAATTAGCGTATAAAATTAAAAATACTACTTCTATTTTATGTCGTGTCATTATTTGTAAACAGAATTGGATCAATATGAAGTATATTTTAAGTGATACTTGATTTTTCAAAATTGAAATTAAACGATTTTTACAATTGTCTAATTTTGAAAGTGGTGTAAGTCCATTTGCAACCCGTAAGTATACATCAGTTTAGTAAAATACGCCTAAAAAAATTTATATAACCAAATTATATATTGATAAAACAGTATAAATATTGCCAGACTTGATATAACTTGACTAAATTTTTTAATTAACACATATGTTAACCTTTAATTTTCTCGAAACAAGAGTAAATGGACTTACACCACTTTCAAAATAAACGGTCCATACATCACTTGACTAACAAGGGAAGTGTCACAACTGTGTCTCACCGATTTCGATGCAATTTGGTACAGTCATAGAATGGGCCAAAATAAGGTTCGTACATTTTTTTATACGTGCGGTAAAAGCCCCTGGGGCGAGTTATAGGGGTTGAAAGTTTGGAGAAAAAGTACGTTTTCACTTATATTTTAAAAATGAAAAGTGCTATCAAAATTTGGTAAATTGTAACTGATATTCATTTTAAAAGAGCTTTCTTTTGATGTATCNATATAAGTGAAAACGTACTTTTTCTCCAAACTTTCAACCCCTATAACTCGCCCCAGGGGCTTTTACCGCACGTATAAAAAAATGTGCGAACCTTATTTTGGCCCATTCTATGACTGTACCAAATTGCATCGAAATCGGTGAGACACAGTTGTGACACTTCCCTTGTAAGTGACATTTTATCGTTTCTAGAGATTTTCATTCTGTCTGGTAGGTAAAGGTGTAACTTATCTTAGAAAAAATGCTGATACCGAAAGACCTAAAATACTATTTGTGTTAAAGGATAAAGTTACACGATTTCAAGTCCGATTTGCATCATACGTCTAAGAACCGACTTAGATACACCAAGAAATTCTACAATAGAAAAAATAGATGAACTTACAATTTCGGACCAGTGTCGTTTTCTCGATGTTAGTATAAAATTAGAAGTTTATGTCGTTTACATCTCTCATCTTATCCATTTTTCAAACGACAACGGTAGGTAGCGCTAGTTAGCATAAGATATTACTATGTTACATATTTTTATTGCATTAAAACGGCTAAACCCGAAACTTTCTAGTTTTAGGTCTAGTGTTAGTTCTAGTTTCCACTATCATTCGGCGTTAAATTGTTGTATATTTTGATACACATACGATGTTGGACATTATTATAACGTCCTGTCCAGACAGCATACTTTCTCATGGTAAGGTCATTCCGGCCAGATCATAGCACGACATCGGTGCTCATCAAAATTACTGATGATAGTAGACGTGGTTATGATGGCGTTTGACCTTATTGTTTTTACTTGACTTTAGCAAGTCATTTGATTCTGTTGATCATAGCTTGTTGGTAGCAATTCTATCTTCTGTAGGTTTTTCGCCAAGCTATGTCGCTTGGTTTCAATCAGACGTTTCTAATCGTTCCTTGTGTGTACGTGACTCCTCATCTTCATCGTCTGTATTTACAAGCCGTTGCAGTGTGCCTCAGGGCAGTGTTTTGGGCCCCCTTCTCTTTTCCATCTCCTTAAATTGCAATACTAAGATAATTAAGCACAACTTTCACTTATATGCAGACGACCTCCAAATTTATACATCTGCAGCTGTGGATGAACTTCCAGTAGCGGTGATGCGGCTTAATAGGGATCTTGCTAGTGTCCCAGACTGGTCTAGATCCCATGGCTTGAGTTTGAATATAGCAAAGACTCGAGCTAATGCTTTCGGATCAAGACCTTTGCTAACAAAATTTTACTGCATCAATAATACCCATCTGACACTTGATGGTAACATCATACAATTCACTCAAACAGTTAAAAACTTGGGGGTGATGATGGATTCTACATTGTCCTGGCAGTCCCAGATTCCGTCTGTCTACAGGAAGGTTTATTTCTGTTTCTGTTTCCCACTGTGTTAGTTCTAGTTTTTACAGTAGCACTATCACTAGAACTAACACAAGACATAGAACTAGAATCATGCGGGTTTAGCCGTCTTGAGAGACGTGGGACTAAATCCGAATATTTCTAGTTCTCGGTCTAGTGTTAATCCTAGTGGCAGTGGTAGGTAGCGCTAGT